CGACGAACGCAGGCCGCGATGGCCCGCACGCACCTGCTTGTCTTGTCGAACGGGGCTTTGGGCGTGGCCGTGCACGGCCCGCCATGGCGCTCGCTCGCAGGCCGCGCGTGCGCGGCGCTGCGCGAGCCCACGTTCCTGCGTCGAGCGCCACGGGCCGCCGCCGCCGCCAGGAGGAGGAGAAGGGAGGAGGAGGAGGAGGAGGAGGAGGAAGAGGAGGAGGGGGAGGGGGAGGAGGCAAGTTAGGTGCGCTCGCGTCAACATCTGACATCCTACCCCTCCCTCCCATCCCATGGCGCTGGTTTTCTCTATCCGCGGACGCGTGTCGTAGCGGACCTGTGGCTCCGCGCGCGTGTGCGTAGTGGGTGTTGGTGCGCGTGCGTGCGTGCGTGTGTGCGTGGTTGTGGTTGTTGTGGTGGTGGTGTGTATGTGTGTGTGCGTGTGTGCGCGTGTGCTGTGGTGTGACGTGGTGTGGCGTCTTGGTGGTTTGTGGTGGGCCAGGTGCGTACGTGCGTGATGGCGGTGGTGGTGGTGGTGGCGGTGGTGTGTGTGTGTGTGTGCGCGTGTGTGTGTGTGTGTGTGTGTGTGTGTGTGTACGTGTGTGTGTGTGTGCGTGTGTGCGTGTGTGTGTGTGTGTGTGAGTGTGCGTGTGTGTGTGCATGCGTATGTGTGTGTGTGGTCGTGTGTGTGTGTGCGTGCGTGCGTGCGTGCGTGCGTGCGTGTGTGTCTGTGTGCGCGCGCGTGTGATGTGGTGTGACGCGGTGTAGCGTGGTGGTGGTGGGTGGGGTAGTGCGGTGGTGGTGGCGGTGCGCGGTGGTGGTGCGCGTGCGTGCGTGCGTGCGTTGGTGGGTGGAAGTGGCGGTGGGTGTGCGTGCGGCGGGGCGGGGCGTGGTGCGGCGCGGTGGTGGCGGGCGGATGGGCGCGCGAGAAAGAGGCCCGCGCTGGGGCGAGAACGCCATCCTGAACGACGGAGGCAAAACACCGATCCGAAAATGAGGCCCACGCTGCAGCGGGAGCACGATTCGGAACGATTCGGGAGCAGAAATGAGGCCGGCGCCTCAGCGAGAGCAGCATTTTGGAAAAAAAAAAAAAAAAAAAAAAAAAAAAAAACGCAGGCGAAAACCCAACTCCGGGGAATCGTGTGTGTTAAAAAACAGTACGGGGGGGGGGGGGCGAATACGCAAAAGACGTCATCAGGGGAAGAGGGAGAGTAGTATTCATACTGAGTAATTGTAAAGGGAGGGAGAGGGGGAGGGGAAGGAGAAAAAGGAGGAGGAGGAGGAGGAGTTTTCTCTCTGCAAGCCGTGAGGCGTGACCGATGGGCGACGTTTCGCCCGAGCGCGCGGGCGCCCGCGGGGCGTGGGCGACGGTTCGCCCGAGCCTGGGGCGCCTCCGAGGAGGAGGAGGAGGAATAGGAGGAGGAGAGGGAGGGAGGGAGGGAGGGAGGGAAGCCTCCCGGGCCATCCCAAGTGAAGGGAGACAGCGGCGGCCCGCGACCGCCCCTCCCAGTCGGACGCAAGGGGAGTGCAAACATCTCAACAGGTTGCCAGCGCACGGCGGCGGAGAGCCCACAGCTGCAAACGGAGGGTGCCACAGTGGTGAAGAGTAGGAGAGGGCACCAGCTTGTGAGAACGATCGAGGTGCATAGAGGAATGGGCATGGACAGGAGGGAGGGCGCGGAGGTGAAGACGGGGGAGGGCAGGGGGAAGAAAGACAGACAGACAGGCAGAGAGAAGGGGAACTGGTCTGGGATGGCGCAGGGGTGCGGAGAGAAGGGGGAGGAAGGGAGAGTGGAAGAAATAATGAACGGCATTAGGGAGGGACGGGGGAGGGGCTGGGGGGAGGGAAGGCTGATGGGGGATTGACAGCTGGAGCTCAGAGCTTTCAATCTGCGGGGAGGGAAGGCTGATGGGGAATTGACAGCTGGAGCTCAGAGCTCTCACTCTGCCCCTTCCAGTTCTTTACAATATGCCCCCGTCCTCTGGGTACCCCATACTCTCTCTCCCTCCTCGCCCCTCATCTCCTTGCAGGTTATCCCCTCGTCCGTACTGCTCCCTTATCGCACTCGCCCGCCCTCATCAGTTACATCAGTAGCATCACCATCATCATCAACAACAGCAGCAACATCGTCACCATCAGAATCACCATCACCATCAGCATCGTTCTCGTCGTCGTCGCCACAATCGTCACCATCAGCATCATCATCATCATCAGCATCATCATCAGCATCAGCATCATCATCATCATCAGCAGCATCATCATAATCATCATCAGCATCATCATCATCATCATCATCATCATCATCATCATCATCACCATCAGCATGTTCGCCATCATCATCAGCATCATCATTATCATCGTGATCACCATCATCACAACACCTGCAACCATCACGATCACATAATCTCCAGCATCATCCCTTGTCCTCCTCATGCCCACCCTCCTCGCCGCATTCCTCCTCCTCCCTCGAGGGGAGAAGGCGCCGCAGCCCCGGGAGCATCGCCTGCTGCAGCTGGTTCACCTCGGCCTGCAAAGCCTGCATCGCCGCGGACTGCCGCACCCGGGGTCGCGTGCGGAACTCCTCGGGGCAGTGCACGCGGGGACTTCTCCCCCTCCTCCTGATCGTCCTCCTCCTCCTCCTCCTCCTCCTCCTCCTCCTCCTGATCATTATCATCATCCTCATCATCATCACCTTCATCATCAGAATCATCATCGTCGTCATCATGGTCATCATCATCGTCATGTTGATGAATCATCGGCGGCAGTATACTGTATACTGTATCAGAGCTCCACGACAGTTCTGCGGGCCTGTCTTGGCACCAGGTGTTGTTGACAATTTCTCACTGCAAATATTAGTGAAGTATCCTTCAGCGCGACCGCCTGGGAGGCGATTGGTTGAGAGGCTAGTTTCCATTGCTGCTGGCGGGGCATTGCCAAGGGAGAGAAGCAGCCGCTTCCAAGGTCGAGGTCAGCCCATGGTGCCCAAAGTGTAAGGAGTGTCGACAGACGGCCTTCCATCGCAAAGGGAACTGCCAGAGGCATACACCAGATCCAATGACCTTCTTCCCAAGGCCCTGACGCAACACGAAGTTGATGAGGCCTTCTCGCTGAGGGGTGTCATTTCCCATGTTGGATTGAGGTGCAGGCGTGCGGCGTGGTGCAGCGGCGGGGCCCTCAAGATCGGCATCAAGGGTTGGTTCGGCCCTGGCGCCGTCCACGCGCCCATCGCGACGCTCGGTGATGCCAGCGGGGGGCCCGACTCGCTTGTTTACCATGCGAATAGGGCGCCCCGCGGCTGAGGAGAGAGGGAGGAGGAGGGGGGAGGGCGGGGAGATGCATCGAATTAACCAATTAATCCGGCGGCCCGGCCCAGGCCTGCAGGCGCGCGCGCAGGGTGGCGCGCCAGGCCTCCGCGCCGCCGCCGGCGCGCGCAGCCGGCGTCAGCAGCAGCATGGCTGCCCGCGGGGGCAGCGCTGGTGCCCAACCGGGGCAGCGGGGGGCCCGACTCACGGGACCCAAGGTTCCGTCGCGGGCTCGCCAAGGTACGCTCCGAGGCGGAACGCTGATGGGACGCTGCCAGGAGAGCAGACAGTTCCCAAAGGAGCAGTGTACATGCTGCTGATGGCGGCTCGCCCCATGACAGGTTTCGCAATAGATGTGACGGATAATAGCATGGTGTATGACGGCTGGAACGCATGCAGGTACCGCAAGCCGCGCGGTGACTTGGCACAGCTGCAGGCTCTCGTAGGGTTCGAGCTGCAGCGGAGGGAGCCATCCCACTTCGTGGCTCTCCGTGAACTCCCACCCAGTCGGCGGAGCAAAGTCGTCGCGAGCGACGCCCCCGCCTGGCTGGTCTGCGGCAGCAGCATGGCCGACGCGCTGGCGGGTCCAGCGGTGCTGCAGGTCAGGCTGCCTTTGGCCGACAGAGGTGCTGCACGTGGAGCACCAGGCCTTTCTGGTGCGCGCGCAGCGACCAAGGCGACAGGCGAGTCCAGCATCAGGGCTGGACTCGCTGGCGGCCGAGGAGCAGGTGTTTAAAACCGCCCGCCTCGGGCAGGGGAACCAGGTGGAGGCCGTGAGTGAGGGTGTCCCCTCGCCTCCCCTGCCGCCTCCTTCACCGCGCGCCGATGCCGTCTCCATTCTTGGCAGCTCACGCTCTGGACAAGTCGGGGCGTCGGGGCCGTCGGTCTCGCGCTGGCTATCCCGTGCGGCGACAGAACGAGGTATGGCCTAAAGTCGACAGCAAGACTGTGAAGGCCAAGGGAGCCCAAGAGGGCTTCCAAGTTCGTTGGATGGTTTGGACACTGTCCTGGGTATATTACTGTTACTCATGTTCCTCCTATTACTCGATATCGTCGTCCTCCTCCTCTTCAGCATCATCCTCATCATCTTAGCCCCCCCAAGCTTGCAGATACGAAGTGTCACAATTAGAGGCCTCCCGTACCTCCTCGAACAATCGCCACAGATAATGCTGGGCATTCACGATGGCGGAACTTGCCGAAGGCAGCTTTATATTCTCACGATTATGTGTGCACCTTGCTTCAAGTCATCGTCGTAACCGTCATGCTCGTTATCCTCAGCTTTCGAGCTAAGCTGCCCTGCAGGCCTAGTGGGAGGCGAGGTTTAGTACGCCAGGTGCCTGGAAGACATCGTCGTCCTCAGCCAGCTCAACCTGCCAGCGGCAGAGGGGGATACGAAGCCTGACCGATACCAAGAACACAATGCGGCGGAGCTGAGAGAAACATGCGGAATGAGGTGCGTGGGAGGGCGGGACAATAAAGGAGTGGAGGGGGCGACACACAGAGCAAGAGAGAGAGAGAGAACACAAACTAATAAACACATCAAAAAACGCAACACAACAAACAAGAAGAGCGATACGGATAACGATACATATACAGAGAGAGAGAGAGTGCGTGAGAGAGGGGAAGCGTTTGTTACACAATCATAGACCTACTCTTACTATATACATATACATGCACATGTATATGTATAGTCTATGTAGTAAAGGGAAGGACAGGGATAATCAGCCAGAGGGGGACAAACGGTCATTCATTGTCCCTGGGCGCGTGGCTGAAGTGGGGTTCCGCGGTGAAGATTGCTGCATTGTGTTGCTGTTGCGTTTGATTCTCATTACTAGCCACTGGCTATGGCTGATCACCCCCTCCCGTGCTCATTGTGTTTTTCGATGGAAGTGCCCCATCCCGGGGTCGCACCATGTTCTGTACCAGGGAAAGTCTTAGGCTTCAGACGGTATTGTTGGCCTCAAAATAACGACAGCAACGGCTCCCGCCTGACACATCTTCATAACTTACTCGAAGTCGCGCTCTCGCGCGGGACTTCCTCATTATGCCTGCATGTGTCGCACTCTGGAGCGTCCTCGCAAGTTATTCAAATGCCGCGCCCTCGACACTCAGAATTCACGGTCCCGCTTGGAACTTCCTAACGACATCTTTGGACTCGCGCTGTCGCTGGAGACTCCCTCGCGAATCATGCGGACTGACGCTTCCGAGACCCCCCCGCTCGACCTGGCCGTCTGGGCCCGCCCGCCCGACCCGCCCTCCAGGGTCGACCCGACCGCTCGTTTTCCTGCTGCCGCCGCCTACCGTTCGGTAGCGGCGCGTGGGAAGCCATGCACCCTGCGCAACGTTGAGACGCGCAGGCAGCCCGCTCGGGCCAGGCCTGTTGGTTTTCTCGCTCGACCGCCCCGACTCGGTTTCGGTGGCTTGCGTCAGCGTCGTCTCAAGTTTCTCTGGCGTTTTCGGTTTTTCGTTGACGACTCGATTTGGGTACTTCTTCTTCGACCGCATAGCCGCCACCGTCCGCGCGGCGCGGGCTCCCCGTGGCAGACACGGAGGAGCTTGACATACCCGATCTATAAGAACGCCGGGGGCCCAGCGGTCTGCCAGCGACTGAGCGCCCTCCGCAGCTCGCTCATGGGGCGGCCCATGGTGCGCCATCGTGCTCCCTCCCCCTTTGTCCCTTCTCTCATCCCGCCCTTCCCCTGTGTTAGGGGCTACGTCACCTACACGTGGCAGGTAAGGAAGACATGCCCAGAGGGGGGTAGGATCGAAGGCGGAGAGGGAGGACATCGAAGGTTTGGGATTCACATGCTGTCGGCACGCGTCCGAATAGGAACTAACAATCTTGAAACTTATTGTTGCTGTTGTTGTCGTCCTCGCCCGCGACCCGCCCGCGACCCACACGGCGACCCGACCCGCGACCCGACCCGCGATCCACCCCGCGACCCACCCGGCGACCCACCCGCGACCCACCCACGCTATTTTGACGCCGATTCGGCGCCTGCGGCGAGCTCGGAGTGCACTGTGCTGAGCCACCTGCGCCCGCGGCAGGCCTCTTTGCAGAGCCCCGAAGTCTGCCGACGGCCTCGCCGCCCTCTCATATCCTATCCGCCAACTGCGGGGTGCTACGAGAGCTCACGCGTTCCCCCAAACGGTGTTTGCACCCAGGGGTTCCCCTCGCCATCGCTCGGACGTCCATTCCCTGTGTTTTTTTCGGCTTCGTGCGTGGTTTTTTCGCCAAATGATCAAGGATGCTCCTCGATGGTCCTCGCCGAAGGAAAAATGCACACGTCCGAGCGATGCCAAGTCCCACGTTTCTCATCGGAAAGTGGGCCTGTACGTCCCTCGGGCCGGGCTGTGGCCGCCCGTCGCCGCCGTCGCCGCACCACTTTGGCCGCGGTGGTGACTGCGCACGGCTTCGCAAGTGGGCGCGGGCGCTGGTCTGGCTGGCTTGTGGCCGCCCGTCGACGCATTGCCTGACATTGGCTCAGTTTGCCTCGCACTGCTTCGAACTGATTCGCACGGCTTGCACTCGGACTGCGCTGCTGTGCATGCTTTGCGTTGGGATGCGCTGCGTTGCAATGCGTTGCGTTGCTTTGCGTCGCTTCGCGCCACATAGTTGCACCACATGGATTGTACCTCATTGGTTATCTCTTCTTTTGAAACATATTATGATCCACCCCCCTGCCCAGATTTAACCGCCCGTTCTTCGTAGTACTATTCACATATGTTTCTGCCCCACCGTCCATCAAACATTTGAACGCAGACCAGCCCAGCCAAACCAGTAACGGTTCCCCCCTGCATCCTCTGCAAAGCAACACTATGCGCGCACAGTCGCTTAGCCAAAGTCATCCGCTTTCCAAAAACACATGGCAAAACATGAAACCAAAAGTGCGCACGCGCCCGTCGCCGCGCGCGCATCCCGAAACACTTCAAAAACAATGGGGCCCGTCAGGATGTCAAAACCCAGCAGCGCCCCGAAAACAGATGCAACTTTGGGCTCGAAACGAGAATGCTCAAAAACATGTGCGCCCGTGCACTTGCATAATCTTGGGGAAAAGCATCGGTTGCTCAACATTGTCATACCATGCTGCCAAGTGGGCCTCTCGCGCGCGAGAGTCGGACTTGTTCGAACGCCTCTGCGCGCGCGCAGTCGCAAAACCCCCTTGCAAAACATGGGACGGAGTGCGCGCGCGAGTCGTCGCGCGTGCGCCGTCGCACGCTTTACAGCAACAGTGTTTCAAAGAACTGCGCTCGCACTTTTGCGATGTTTCCTGGGGGAAAGAAGCACTGGGTTTTCAATATGTTTGCCAGATTTGGCCAAGCGGACCTTTTTTTCGCGCCGCGTGCCGACATCATTCGGACGCCGTCGAACGCGTGCTGAGGGGGAGGGGGCACGATCCGTGTCAAAAAACACAATGCGGGCCACTCTCACGCGTCAGCCGCGCGCGCGTGCCCAACTCCTTCCAAAATGTTCACCACCGACGCGAAGACGCCGTCATTTCTGTCGGCGTGCTCGACATCGGCGCCGTCACTGGCCGTGCCGTCGCCGTTGTCATCATCGTCACCAGCGTCGCTACTATCATCATCGTGTTTACCGTTGTCGACGTTGCTTGGACACGGCGCCCGCCCAAGTGGCCGACCCGCACTGAAGGGCCCGCTGGGAAGTGCCCAAAGGTCAGCGCCACAACGGCCGCGTCGGTCGCGCCAAGCTAGCTGGCCCTTGCGCGAACGAGCACGCGCGGGCGAGCGCGGCCGCAGAAACTTCACCAGCTAACACCACTCATCGCAATCGCCGCAGCATGTGTCTTGCAAATGCAAGTTGCGGGTGGGCTTGCGCGAGCAATGGAACTGATAACTGCGAGTTCCACCCATGAACTGCACCACGTATATTGCGCCGTGTAGGTTGTGAGAAATCACTGTTTTAGGCCATCGTTGGCCCACGTAACCTATGCAAACAATAGTAACGTAGACGTAGATATATGGTGTGTAAGGAACAAGGGGGCCGGGTGCAATAATATGTTAGCCACCGTGGGCCCCAACACATCTGTGCTATCTCGTTTACTGGGCGGTGAAATTTGTGTGGCGTAAGCTATGCGTTGCAAGGTATGTGGTGGAAACTATGATGAATCCTGAATCGCAGCTTCGACGGCCCTCGGATTGCGGCTCTTGCGGAAAAACGCAGCACGCTGTTCCGCAGCGCCGGCTCTTAGCAGGCCGTGCTGCCCGGAGCCGGGAGGGAGAGAGGAAGGAAGGAGCAGGTAGGCCACAACGAACGCGCAGGCGGGAGGCCGGGGGCGAGCCGGACGGGCGGGCTGGCGGAAGGGATACAGAAAGAGAGCAGCAGGCACGGAGCAGAAGGAAAAGGAGGAGGAGGAGAAGGAGGAGGAGGAGGAGGAGGAGGAGGAGGAGGAGGAGGAGGAGGGGGGGCAAGAGGAAACTGAAGAAGACGAGGGGGAGGGGAGGGGAAGCAACCGAAAGCAGCCATGGGCCAGGAGAGAAAAGCCACCCGCGACGAGGCTTCGGACTTTATGGCGGCGTGGAGGGGGGGGGGGCCCTCGGCGGGGCCGCCCACCTCCCCGCCGAGGAAGGGCCATACGGCGCGCGCGATGGATCGCCAGCGCGACGTTGGCGAAAGGGCGCGGGGAGGCGCCCGCGCTGCCCAGTAATGGCGGGGGGGGCAGGGGGCGCTTGGCAGCGCCGGGGGCACCTCACGCGGCGTTCGACGTGGATGCAGCCGTTGCCGCGGCCAGGCGGACCGATGCCACCCCCGCCCCCCAGACTGGGTTTGGAAACGCCGTGGCGCCGCCCGCGCGCTCCCCCTTGGCAGGGAAACGCAAAGTAGATGGGTATGCCGGTCCGCAACCAGTGCGGCGTCTCCCCCCGTGGCGTCTGCGATCCGCCTGGCCGGGGCCCTGAATGCCCTGCGTGCCTCCTGGCCCCGCCCGCCGCCGCGGGCTTCCACCACCATGGGGATGAATTTGAAGCCTTGTGCCGCGCGCAGACGCGCGATGTCTTTGTGCTGCATTTTCATATTTTCGTGCCGCTCCGTCGCCACGCTTGACGCAGCGGCCGTCTTGGCGAAGAGGTCGGCACGCAACCCGGACGTGGCGGCAAAGTCCCAAGCGACCGACGTGCCGTTGCGCCACCGTGGCAGGTAGACGTCGGCAGGGTGGCGGCCAGTGGCGCTGCTCAGCCCAGGGGAGGCCTCTCCGGCGGGGCGCGTGGGTAGCAGCCCCGGTCGCTCCAACTCCGCCCCAGCGTGGCCAGCTGCCAGGGCGTCGAAGAAGGCCGGGTTACGCAGGGCGATGTGGCGGTTGGTCCGGTCGCCGCGGCAGGCGCCGACCAGGGCGTGGTTGCAGAACAAATCCAT